CATCAACTCAAACCCTGGAATGAAAACCGAAACCGCATCGAACCGCGACATGTAAAATACATAACCGAACCGAAAGGAACCGATATTTTGAAAAAAAATGACCGAACCGAACCGTTTTAGAAATAACCGAAACCGCACCGAACCGAACCGCGGCTTTCATGAATTTAGGGGTAATACAGGGTTATATTGGGACTATATAGAGGAAATAGGGGGAGTATAGGGGAATATAAAATATTAGATTCCCTCCTTTTCTACTAACCAACAATAAGTTTTTCTGATCAAGGCCGCCAACAACTTTCCGAGTCCAGTGTGTAGTTTCCAAAAACCTGGTTTCCTCTATCTTGGAACAATTTTGTGTGCGGAATCCTTGGAGGGTCAAGGGGACTTTGTAAGTAGGTTGATACTGGGGATAACTGAGGCTACTGCAGGGATTTCAGGGGCTATTGACCGACTTACCACGTCACCCTGACCCTGCAAGTACTGATATTGCAAATAGTTGGCCATGGCCCATCCTCTCTTGAAAGCAGGCGCTATTTGCAGCGTAGAGGTGCAAGGGTATGGCACCCGCCCCAACCACCGTCAGCTTGTTTTGATCACCTTGCTGGTTGCCAGCATGGCATGGAGGAATGGATCCATATACTAGCCACAAGTCCATAGTAAGATTATGTGTCCAGTTTGTTTTCCATTCCCTAAACCTTCAACCCAGAATAGTAGCTTCCATGTTCTTCTTCATTCCCTACTAACAAGCAACAAGCCACTCAGCTGGCAGAGCTCAGACATTGCAGACGCTGCTCTTCCGCGCGACTGGCAATCGCCTCTCAGCGTCAACTTTGATGTCATGTACGGGGCCATTTAGTCGCAACAAGGTTTGGGGGATATCATACCAGAATTTAATGAGGATTCTAAGGGCCGGGGGGAGGGAGAAAGAAAATTATCCAGGCTTCGAGTTTTTCGCCACGACCCGTACAAGCCGAACACGTTGCACTGTAATTCCGCAGGTCTGTTACAATACCGTCTCTTGATGCAGACCCCATGGCGGCCTTACTCTTGCAGGTACATGCTCACAAGCATCAGCATATAGTCCCCCTTACGTAGATAGAATATGGGGTATATGGGGATCTTATTATAATATACCCAAGGCCATATTATATCTACTTAAGGGGGACTATAACCCACCCCTGGCTATATTACACCTGATTGTTAGTCCTCGTCCAGCTTTGCCCCATACTCGCCATACCCGCTATCTCTTAGGGTCATATTGGGATAATGGAAAAGAAAAAGGAAACTACTACACAGTACAATGGGGTTGTATTGGGATAATGGAAAATAACATGGAAACTAGAATTTTCGGTTTAGGGTTTTTAGCGTTTAGGGCTTAGGTTAGGTGATCCTACCAACCATCTATGGTGATCAAAACGGAGAGCGGTAATTATGTCAGAGTCCTTCTACATTCATGGTACATCACTGTGATTGTGTGGGGTGGAAACCTGACTTGTTCTGCTCACATGTCTGTGGCAAAATTCCACTGCCTTTGGCAAGATGGACATTTCTCAAATTTCCCAGAAATGAAAATTCAAGGCCTCATCGTAAGGGTCACGACAACTGGAGTCGGGTTGTTGAGAAGCACTAAACCCCTAAACCCTTAACCCTAAACCCCTGAACCCGTATACCCTAAAACCCTAAAACCCTAAACCCTAAACCGCTACCCGTGACCAGCCGGGCGCCCTCAGAGACAGAGGGATGCTCCTAGCCCCCTAATATTAACCCCCTCCCCACACCCCAATATTAAATACTCTCAATATGGGGGGTTTCCCAAAATTAGGGGTCCCTTTTTGTGGGTCCCGATAATAAGGAGTATAATATGTGTCTACATTGGGGTCCCCTGTTTTGGAAACTACCATAAATGTAATATACCATAATGGGGAGTATTAGGGGGAGGGAATTATGTTGTGCTCATAAGAGGATTGTTTCTGTGCAGGGAAGACACCATCTCTCAGCAGCTCCACCAGCGCCTGGATACCGCCAGTCTTACCTGAAGCTTGCACGGTTTAGGGTTTAAGGTTAAGAGCTTAGATTTTCTTTCAGGTATGGGTGTAGGTCGTATACTCCACCAAAAAAGGGCACGACGGCAAAAGGACTGTAGTCTGTGATGGGCCCCTTTTGTTCTTCCATGAGCTCATCTCTTACAAGCGCTGAACCCAGAGACCCTAAACCACACTCTTGAAAGCACATAGGGTTTTTCAATTTTTTGCCCACTTCCAAAAAAAGCCCCGCCCAACGAAGCCTGCACTACGGATTCAAAACCAACCCCTGACTTTAGGAACCCTAACTGAACCCTTAATCACAAAGCACTTGGCCAAAAAACGGCCCAGTTGCCAATAGTCTCTTTGTTCTTTGAATTGCGCACTGCCAGTTCACCCAGAGCAGTTGCTGCATACTTTCCTGCACGATGTGACGTGAATCGAAAGGGATGGGGGGGTTGGGGCTTTCACAGCAAGATTGTCTAACACGTGCTTCGGGGCTTCATGAACTTGAGCGGTTGAAGACACCTTAAATGCGTTTCGGCGTTAGGGTCCTAACAGAATTAAGGCATTCCCCTTTTACTTACGCCAATCCACAGCCCCCTCAGAACCAAGGAAGCATCGTAATTATTGGGCCGAAATAGCCCCAGTTTCCATTTCCATTTCCATGTGATTCTCCAGTATTGGGGTACCATATACCTGAACCCTACATAACCCTATATACACCTAAATGTCCCAATGTACACCTTTGTACCCCTATATGCCCAAAGCCTAAACCCATTATCCACTATGTCTCTGTATAAGCTACAGTCTAAACTCCTAGTATCCCCCCTTAACATGCCCCATAACACTCCCCTATACAATCCCCTAAATATCGCCCCTTTACCATCGCTCATATGAGCCATAATCTAAACTCCTAGTATCCCCCTNAATAAGCCCTTTAATACTCCCCTATATAATCCCCTATATATCCCCCTTTAAGGAGTTTAGACTATAGCTCATATAGGGGTAACCTGGTGAACTGCCAGGCCACTAGCAGCTGCCGCTGTCCCGGGCGTATCTTGGACGAGATCCTCGGGTTGTAGTTTAGGGCTCAGGGGGTGTAGGGTTCCAGGTTCTTAGTTAGGACTATGGCTGCCATAATGGCAACTAAGATTCCTGCTATTGTGGTGTTTTCTGTTATAACTACTATTATAAGTCATTACTATCTAGCATTACAATTAATTATCACTTCCGTGAACCCCGTTCTTAGCAAATTCAGCTTAACACTCAAAAAGTGCGTCAAGAAGTGAAAAAAACTATGAGGATTTGGATAGCCGTGCTTTCCTCATGGCTTGAGATGATGGGGATGATGGCGATGACGAAAGCTCCCGCTGATCCTACACTCTTCCTTCTCTCTGAAGGCCATGCTGTTCAACCGCAACAATTTAAAACGCTAAACCCTAAACCCTAAATCCTGAACCCTGAACCCTAAACCCTGAACCCTGAACCCTAACCCCATCTTAAATCCAGATCATGAATCCTAATCCCACAACAGAACCTTAAACCCTCCTAGTTCTGGCCCGGATCGATGAACAGCGGGATTACACCCAGGTCTGCCATGTAGACGCGGTTATCCGCATTCTTGGCGAGAGCTGCTAAGACACCTCGCATCTGGCATTCAGGGGTTCTGGATAATGTTAGGGGTTCCATGGGGGGTCGAATTACGCAAGATTATGCGGCCGTTGTATCGGAGTTTGCACCGACAACAAATCTACTTCTGTTCCACTTCTTTTTCAACTTGGACACTTGTAGATGGCAGAAAGCTTGACTTTGTTTTCTATCAGGCTCAGACGGGATATCAGAACCACCCTAAACCCTAAATGCGAAAGAACGTGGAGTCCCCAACTTGAGAAGTTCAGGTCACCTTCCCAATGCTCATACCAATAAAGCTGTAGTCTCGTCAGGAATTGGTTTTCCTTTCTTATTGTACTATAACCTGAAGAAAACATTGACACCTACTGCTATTATTGTAGGTCTACGGGGATTACAGACATGAAATCACAACAGTGACAGCCCTCTCAAATGAATACCCCACAAACCAATGAAGCTGCACGAGTTTGCCTTCGCTCATTAGATGAGCCCCTCTCAAAACCTTACTAATTGCATGAACCTGACAAAAACCCTGAACCCTAGAACCTTAATCCTAAATTGGAAGCCGTGAACCTTAAGCTCAAAACAAGCCCCTGGAAGGGACCCCTCATGTCATCATCAATATCTCTCTCTATATACATATATATATATACACACACCCTATTTTGTCCGTAAATACCCAATATACAACAAGGTGGTCCCCCCATTACCCCAGTTATAGCCGATGTACCAGCAGCGTCTTCCTTGGCACCAGGATTCTCGTCCTTCAGCAGCTCCATGCCTGGCGACTGTTGGGTTTTAGGGTTTAATAAGGGTTTAGAGTTTGCTTGGAAGGTCACGGGAGCCTAATGAGTAGGCTAAAACTTGTGATAACTAGGGTTACTATATGCATTAACGGGGCGCTTAACCTACTAAGTCCCTCTGACCCTCCAAGTGTGTAGTGATAATTACTGCCCCTACCTCTAAGTTCCCTGGAACCCTCGTAGAAATTGCGATTTCTTCGTAAGATCGCGTATGAATACCAGAAGCTCAGGTCATGTTCAGAAATCTTCCAGCCAATATTGAAGACCACTCACTATCCACTATCCTTTGGCATCCCAAATCCTCGGTTTAGGGTCTAGGGCATTGGGAACATGCATTCAGGATTATGCAGGAAATTCGGCAAACTACCTGTCATGTTCACCCAGAATCCATTTCATTGTCCATCTTCTTCCCCATTGGACTCTCCAATTATTAGGGGGGATACCCTTTTACCCTAATTTTGGGCCTAAGCCCTCTATGTCACTATAATGATCCTATACAACCCTAGTCTAGTGCGCTTCTTGCTTGAACCACGAAGAAGCACAGGGGTGCAAGCATTGTAAGAAAGAGCTTGAGGCTACAAGCTCGCGTTTGGGAGCGAGATTCTGGGAGTAGAGGGGAGTGGGATTCCTAAACCCTGAACCCCAAACCCTAAACGGCGTGGTGAATTCTAAGGCAAGGTAAGCAACCCCCTACACAACCTTAAAAGCTTCGCATTATGCGAAGCTTGCTACGTCACCCGTAGGATTTAGGGTTAGCCTGGCGCTTGGTCCTCCATAAGCTCCCTATAAAGGATTTCGGGTCTGCATCTCATTTGGTAGTTCCCCAAAATCGGGGGACCCCAGTAGATCCCAACATGTTGTAGTCCTTTGTACAGGGACCCCAAAAAGGGACCCCTTGTTTTGGGAAATCCCCACTTGAACTGCTGAGGCACATGGACGGATGCCCCCACTTCTGGACACAGCTGCCACGTTCTTGGCGTGTCCACCTGCACTTCATTCAGGCTCGTTGCTATAAGCACTTCTTTCCATGATGCCGTTTATGAAAGCCCCAATGCCGGACCCTAAACCCTAACCCCTGAGCATTCTTGGCACGGGCACGCCTAGGCCCTTAATCCTAATACATCCAGGAGCATTTTAAGAAACTCCCATTTCAGTGCCTGATTTCGGGTTAAGGGCTTGCAGACTGTTCACTCCTCTCTCCACGCTTTAGTCCTGCAACTGTGAGCCCAACATCCTTGAACTAAAGCCGTAGACCCTGAACCCTAAGTCTAAGCCCCAATCCCTGATCCATCACCCAAGTCGCGTCCCCACTAAACCCTAGATCCTAAAACCGCCTTCCACTAGCACATGCAGCACACCAGCAGCAGACTCTCGCATGGCAGCCGACTCATCAGACAGCAGCTGAATCCTAGGCATGCAGGATGAATATGGGAGCTGTTCAAAACGTGCCGTATAGGATCCTTCATAGGGACCCTTCATCTGCTGAATGCCCCCAGATATATCCCTAGGGTCCCTGAGGGCTCGCCCGGGGGATATCCTGAGTTCAAACACAACGCAGGACGATGTTCGGTCATTGGAGGTAGCATGACACACTGGAAATGTGTGAAGATGCTTTGAAGATTAAGCTGTTCCAACGCCTCATTGTAATCATTCTTGCGCTACTGTCAGTTTCGCTAATTGCAGGCAAAGGCTCAGCTTCTGAATCGCGCCACTGGTGGCCCCAATCGCCTTGCTGTTTGTGCCAAGTGTCTTGGGCTTGAGGCTCTGGAGTCATAGGACTAATGATCTCGTTTGTGCAGCCCATACTCCCGGAAGCCTAAACCCTAAACTCCAAATCCTAAACCCTAAACCCTGAGGTCTGCTGAGAGCCTGTGGCTCCGGGATGGCGTGCCGTTGCCTGCTTAAACTACTATAACTGATTTTTTTAGATGCAAAAAACAGTATATATATATATAGATGTATAGTGTTTCTGTAAAGGATATAGAAGAGGTAGGATAATGGAAAAGCAAAATGGAAACTACTGTAATGGGGCTATATAGGGTTTTGGGTTTAGGGTTCGGGGATTTGGCCTTGCAGGGCCCAAGAATGAAATGCAAAAGTCGCAGAGCTCTTTTCCATTATCCCTATATACCCCTACATAACCCTTATGGATCCCTAGAAGGGCCCCTGAAATCTATGCAAGTTTTGATGGGTGATATATTGCGGCCCATCCTTGGCGTTATAATGGAGTTTGGATACCTAATTGGCGTAAAATTCTTGAGAAGACAATGTCACGGTCTATCTGAAAAGTGTAAAGCCGCATTCCCCCTTGCGGGTCAGGGGCCGACTGGTTGTCCTCATGATCACGCGCCAGTGACTTGAGGACGGCTGCTGCCAGCTGTCGCAGGTGTCCATCTGCAAGCCTTTGTTGATCTTGGAGACGCCTAAATCACACTTCGTGCTACCTCATGATTTTTGTGGTTGAAAATGATCAGAAACCACTTCAAACTTGGTTTCTAGGAGGGCCAGAAGCAAGTCGGCTAGCTTAGGAACGGCCCCTGCGCGCGTAATGCTGTCCTGCGCCGCTTATTATCCACATGACATACAACCTCATTGTTCCCCTGTGGCACGCTACGTCATGCCTCCAAGGATGCTTGGGAGACAAGTCCATACTTAAGATTACACACGCCGAGATTCTCATTCTTCTTTCTCAAGAATTAGTATAGTGAGTCCATTCAAACTTAACTGCAAGACAAGCCATAGGCAGCTGCCCAGTCCTGATGCGCCACATGGTGAGATGACAGGTTCAGGAGCAGGTGCAGGACAGGGTCACGAGCATCTGCGGCCCCTCCGGAGAGAAGCGCAACAAGTCGCTTGATGCCACCCTGCTCCACAATAGACGTCTCGTTGTCCAAGTTTCCCTGAGCCAGGCTCCACAAAGCCTTGGCAGATTCGACTCGCACCTTGCTGACGTCATGATCCAGGTGCTCCACCAGAAGAGGGATTGCTCCCGCCCAAGTGATGGCCATCTGGGCTTCTGGTTGGCTACTGGCCAAAGTCCGGAGAAGTGTGCTGGCATGTTGAAGCTGCTCAGAGGACCCACTCCTCAATAAGCTTACGATCAGGGGAATGCCGCCGTGATGCCAGACTGCATCTCTATGGCGAGGGTCCGCTGCCACCAGTGCTTCAATGACTCCCAGAGCCCGCTGGCAAACATCCGCCGACTCGTGTCGCAGAAGACTCAGCAGAACCGGGATCGGCTCCTCCATGCTTGCTCGGTCAGGTGGAGGCAATCTCGCGGCAGCCACATGCGGTGCAGTGGGCGAGGAGGCATATGGAGCTGGGGAGGCTTCCGGCGATCGTGTTGGATCAATACCTGGGTTGCTGTTAAGGAACTTAAATTAAGTTATCATAATGGGTATATATAACAAATTAATTAAGTTCCTAGCAACCCAGATACAGGTAACTGCCAGCTTGCCCTGGTCCTCCATCAGGGACCGGACAATGGCCTCCAAATCCTGGGTTGCTGTTACTACATTGGGGAAACCATATTCATTACTATATAGAAATATATATACCCATTAGGGTAACTTTTCCTTAGCAGCAACCTAGAATCTTGCATCTCTTTGATGCTTTTGATCTGCTCCGACTGAATAGCAGGCATCCGCATTCTGATGGACTCAATGATGTTGCGCAGATTGACGTTCGGTATGAGCGTCGTATGGGTCAAGCTCATGTTGGTCTTCGGGCTGGAGCGCTTGCCCAGCCTTTCCACTCAAGACATCAAGAAGAAGGGGGCAGAACAAGCAAATGAGGAGCAGGAACAGACTCGCAGCAGTACTAGGCATATCTGGATTGGAATATAGATTACACCCAAGTTCCAATCCTGGTGGCTGCAACGAGAATCGCAACACTGGCTCGCAAGAAAGTGGCACCATTGATACTCAGAAGCGTCTCCCTCTTGAGGGAAACTACCATTTAGGTAGAGAGTATAGAGACCTCGCCCACCCACACCCTACACCGGTATGAGCTATAATCTAAACTCCTAATCTCCCCCTTAATATCCTCCATAGTAATCCTCTATAACACCCTTTTAAGCAGCAGTTTAGACTATAGCTCATATGAGACCTACCCCTTATTATTCTGGGAGACCCTAAACCCTAAATAGTAGCTTCCATTTCCTTTCCCACTATTCCTACATAAACCCTATACAATACCCTTCGCCGATATGAGAACAAGCTAAACTCCTAGTATCCCCCTTCACAACCTCTATAACACTCCCTATATAATCCCCTATAGAACCCCCCTTAGGCAATAGCTCATATGAGAGCAAGTTGCGCAAGCCATTTTTGGATGAAATTCTTCTCGTAGGAATGGCCGTCAGCACACACCACGGGATCCTGGGGACCGAAGGTCTGCATCTAAGGTTTAGGGTTAGGGGTTAGGGTTTAGGGTTTGGGGTTAGGGTTTAGAGTTAGGGGCTAGGGTTTAGGGTTTAAGGTTAGGGGTTAGGATTCAGGGCTTAGGATTTAGGGTTTCGGGTTTAGGGTTTAGGGTTGAGCTTACAGGGGTAACCTAGGGGTAATATGAGGATATATAGGGGTTTAGGGTTCAGGCTTTAGGGTTTAGGGTATACATAGGGGATTTTAAAAGGCCATAGGGATAATGGAAAAGAAAATGAAAACTACTATCAGTATCATAATTTGAGGGTTTCCTAGAATTAGGGGTACCTTTTTGGGCGCCCCGGCGACGACGTCAATCATCAGACCGGACATAGCATTTTGGCGTGGCATGGCTCCGTGGTCATGATAATGGTATTCCTGCCTGCTGTTTGCCAGGCTGGACCCGATCTGTCCAAAGATGAACCATTGTAATTGGATTGGGCAACTGCTGGAGCTTTACTCTGTGGCCTCAGCAGCAGCACGATGCTGATACTGAGTTGGAATCTGCTTCGTGCTGATATCCCATCCGTCGAAATACTATGCTTCAAGGTTCCGCCTCAACACATTGCAGCGCACGTTCTCAAGACTTCCGCATGACGCAACTTACTTGTTCTTTGTTGGGAATCAGCGAATAGAATCCCTATATAGTCCCTATAGTAGAATATCTTCCCATACTCCCTACTAACCATACTCCCTCCTAAGAACCAGTAAGACAAAAAGGTTTGAGAGGTCAGAAGAAAACGCTGGCATACACCAACCTCGGAAGCGGATTAGATTAGATCATTGTCATTTCGGTCCTGCCCTAACCCATTCACAGTCTATAGTAAGGGTCATAGGGATCATATGAATTATTCGCCGAGGCTATCCAGCCTCAGGGCGTTCAGAACCCTCTAAAAACCCCCTCTACT